GGATGGACAAGGCTCAGGAAACTCCTGGGTGGCAGGTGAGCCGACTGCAGTAGGCCTATTGCACCACCTGGAACCGGACAGAACCAGGGACAAACAGGTGGTCAGAAGGGCCATTTCCAGGGTCTGCCTGGCAGATCTGGGCTTGTGGGACCTTGGATTCAATTTCCCAGGTGTGGGTTGCCACAAACCGGGTGGGCAGCAGGATGGGCTCAGGCTCCTAAGGGGACTCTTCCGTGGAGAACTGCCAAGACAGGGCATCAAGTTTGACATTTCTAGAGCCAGGACGATACTACATGGAGAAGTTAAACCAACCAAAAAACAAGGCCCACCTCACTTGCCGGGAGTTCAACCTTTTTGCTGTCTGGATTTATGAGAGGTTCTTATGATCGGTCCACACAATAAAGGGTTGCTCAGCTCCCTCCAATCAGTGGCGCCACTGGTTCCAGTACTAGTTCCGTGCTAGTGCCTAACTTAGCACCAGTTCTTTGTGTTTCCACTGCATAAGCACCGGCTCCAGGCTCTCAAAACTGGTGCTTAGCAAGCACCAACTCTTTGCTGGGCCAGAGCTAAACACCCAGTATGTCAGGGGCTGGGGGCGGGGTTATCGTGACCACTGAGACCAATGAATGAATGGTACACACAAGCGGTGATTTCGTCAGGAGGTCCCTGGTCCGATCACAAATGTATTGGAATGAGTCCCAGGACACACGGAAGTTCTGCCCATGTCGGTTAATAAACACAAAATGTGTTAGCATCTGCAACTGATTGTTGTAATAAAATCCCTTTTGTATTGAAACCTTTTGGTTTGTTATCATTACTGTAGTGTGTACACATGAAACCAAACTGTCTGCTAGTTGGGATCCTGCATTAAAAGGTTCTATTTTTTAAGGTATAAATGAATCATAAATAATCACTTTCTATCTGCAGGTATCACAGTGTTGCTCTCGTTGACAGTCTTCATGCTGCTGGTAGCTGAGATCATGCCAGCGACTTCAGACTCTGTTCCACTTATAGGTGAGCCTTGCACTTGAGCTTTATTATTTTATCATACAGTTTTGAACAAAAGTTTACATGCACTTGAAAAGACAATGTATATCATGGCAGTCTTAAGTTTCCAGTGAGCCCTGAAACGCAAAATTTTCTGATGGAATGATTCAAACTGATGTGTCTCATGAACTTCACTAATTCTGTCAAGAGGAGTGGTCAACATACAACCAGCAGCTTGCCAAAAGCTTGAGGACGACTACCAAAAGCATCTAGTTGGTGTAAAAAATGGCCAAGGGACTTTTAACCAAATAATAGCCTTGTTTGTTGTATATTTTTGATCCAGCACA